GTACGAGCTACTACAAACTGAAATTTACTACAGTTAGATAAATTTTATGTTATTAACAAACAAAATATAGTAATAATAGTTATAACATATCGTAAATTAATTATACATTAGACTAAAACTGTAAAAAAGTATTCGATTTAACATGTTAACAAAATTTTGCGCGTTGAATTGAAATAAAAGTTTAGCAAAGAGAACAGAGCGACTCTTGCAGTTTTCATATTTGTTACATGTTATCCAGACACTACGATATTGTTCTAGCAGTCACAAGGCGACTATTTTACTATTTGCGACGGTGTAATGGCGGAAACTTTCCAAAACCGTCTACGGAATATACGCCATTTTAGAAATTATTAAAACCACGACGTCCGGCTGAAACTTCGCATTACCGTAAAATAAAGCAAGGACCACGTTGGAAATTATTAAAGCATAGCATGTACTACTCGTAGCACTGGAAATGCAAGTAATGGAAATGTGCTGTTAATAGCGCTGCAGAGATGAAAAGGGAAATAACAGACATTTTCCTACTTTGTAGAAGACACAAAACATAATTTACCATGTTATACATATATGTTCCTATCTACAAGTTACATATACGTATAATATTTTCGTACATCAAACATATGTGTAAAATGCATTTATTATAATACAGAAAAATAATAATTCTTAATTACATACACACTCTCTCTCTCTCTCTCTCTCTCTCTCTCTCTCTCTCTCTTTGATTAAATCAAAACTTAATTTCTTTTAACATAAATTACAAGATAAATATAAGTACCGAGATTTTAAAGATTAAAAACAATAGTCTTTTCGAAAGTTAATACAAAGAATTAGTACAATAAGATTTTTTATTTAATCTAAGAATCTCAATTTTTATAAAAATTTTAATACTAATTTACTTTGAGAGAACTTTGAGAGAGAATAAATAAGCTTTATAAAACTGTTTAATCCTCACCCTTTCAGCAAAAGTTATATTTGTCATTAAAATTTGATATTATGAAGGTGGCGTAGATCTGTACAAGATTTTAACTATCAAGTTCTCTTGAATAATTTCACAAAATTATAAGAGTTCGAACAAGTTATAACTTTATAATATAAAATTCTATAAGCATTTCTATAAGCAATTCTAAAGTGTCTTCACAATGTCCGTAAAAATTTAAAAAAATCAAAAATCAAAATCAGAAAAACATTTAAAAGTAAATTGAAAAAAATTTCATTCATATTTATATTTTAAATTTGAGTTAACTAAAATCATAAAGACAAAAATATTGAAATATAAAATTTGAAATATAAAATGGAAAATTAATCATAAAAAAACAATTTATACAGTTAGTAAAAGACAGTGTAATCATTAATACAACAATTATTTTCTTACGATAATTGTGTTGCAATTGATTCCAATTTATGCAAAACGTTATGCATAAATGATGCATATTTCTGTGTTCAATACAATTGATTAATATACAAAATGTTTCTCTGTTTTAAAGACATTCTTATATTAAACTAGATATATTCTTATATATCTTCTCAGCAAAATTTGATATACGTTTGTTTATCTTAATTTTTAATTTGTATTGTATACTGTTAAAATTTCTTATTAAAATTTCATTATCGAAACTTTTCTGTTAATATTACTTTTCTATTAATACGCAGAAATGTCTATTATAATTGCTCCTATTATCAAAATTTCATTAAAATGCTTATTAAATTAATCTTTATATCCAACAAAATTTAATTAATTAAACTGACAATTTTAAAGCTTTTAATAATATGTATCAGGAAAAATTATGTTCTTTCATTTCCGGAGGTAGATATTAACATTTAAATAAACACTAGTTTTTTGAATTTGATCTCATCAGTCTATTGACACGATATGTGTATTTTTGCGAGTACTCTGTATATATAATGTTAAAATAACGGAAGTAAAAAGAGTCGGATGTCCATACAGCATAATCAATGGTATCGATACACGCGATCAGCAGGAATCGATGCATTCAGAACGATGCACTTTTCGGACCGTAACGGGTTTCGATACTATCAATTATACATAGAGAGAATGATTTGCTCTCTATCCTATCGCCCTCGTCCCTTCATGCTAATGCAAGCCGCCTATCAGATTTTCTGTTAATTTACGAACGTTCGGAAGCAAACCTCGAGAACGTGTCAGAGAGCACGCGAGAGTACAGTTTTTAAATATACCTTTAATATTCGAACCGAAATTTACATTAATTTTAACCGTGAAAAAAGAACTAATAGATATTTGAGAAAAAAATTACATTCTTTGTTATAATCTGGATAATAATTAAAAGTATTATATAGAGATACGACGTGAATTAATTAATATTACAAACAATTATTTCTCTTTATTCTTTTTTATTTTTGTATTTATATGATTTGTACCGTTTAGATAAATAATTTCTCCTTTTTAACAAAAGGATTGATTTGTCACTAACAATAATTAGGATAATATCAATTCACGCAAAAATTTGGCAAAGCAGTTTCTAATTCACTAACCGAGGGTGCGAATTTAGCAAATGGAGGACTCCACCGAGCTATTTTCCACGGCATACCACAGCTTCAGTACAAATTTTTTGTCGATACAAACACGAAGACGTTTATTTCGGTGTCCGTTCTGTTTTTCACGACTTCTGTCCTTTCTACCATCTAACTACTCACACAATTCGCAAAGCCCTGGTACAGGAGTTAAACTCCGTATTGGTAGTTTCCGTAACTGACACGTGTAGACGTAACATGCCGGCAGCCGTACAAAGCGCTTTTTACCCATTAAGCAACGGACGCGTCGAAATTGCGCTGATATGCAAGCTTAAAGTATGGGAATTTAGATGAAAAAAAACGAAAAGAATTTAGAATCTTTTCCGATTGTTGTTATATCGCTGGCCAGCTCCATTCAATAGCACTCCCTCGATATTTCCGATTATGTCCTGTGCCACGAATTGCCTCTACATATTTTTTTTTTTTTTTCTCGAGAGCTCACCGCCTGTCTGAATAAACATCGCGCGATCGATATTATCGTTATTATCATTGCCGAGAGCATGGCAAACGCCCTTTGCGACGTTCTCTCCCGCATTCAATGCTGTGCATATGTGCACAAAATATGAATATTCGTATGCATTCTCGGTATTAATAATAATTATAAATTAATTAATTATAATGTTCCGCGATGTCGAACGAAGATTCCGAAGCCATGATACAGAAATGTATTTAACGTATATTTATTATGGTTTAAAAACTACGGGGTGTGTTATGTTGCATAACCATTTAACCGTTAATTTCAATTTACGCGTACAGAATTGTATAATTGGCCTTGTCCTATCTTACAATTATACACGGAGAAAAAAAGATTCACTGGTATAACATATTTTATGCTATAATAAATTGTTATTAGTCATTATGCGGATAATAAAAGAAAAGAATAATTTTATTTATTGAAATAATTTCACGCGCGCATACTAAATCTGCAAATTATTTTACTACAACAATAAATTGTTTCACTAACGAATAGCAGAATATGTCTGTTAGAAATATTTCTACTCCACTTTAACAGTAAATTTGTTTTAGCAGCAAGTTTGTATTTCATTGAACAAATTTACTCAGCAAGTCTTTAGCAGCAAGTTTGTATTTCATTGAACAAATTTACTCAGCAATTCAGTTTTTTCGATAAAATCAGTCTTTCTGTACTATAATTGTTTATGGCAGCAAAGTTTGATTATTTCTACATTAAATAAATATATGCAGCTACAGTTTTGCTGCGGCAAAACGAAACTCTCTTTTTTCTCATGTAAGTTATTGAAAACGTGATTTTTCGCAGAACACAGTAAACGCGCGTATTATCACCACGTATTTTATTTTCTGAAATTAAAACTGAACACTTATAGACGATCAAAGTGTAACTTTGTTCTGGTCTGTCGAATTATCAAATGTCAAGTTGCGTTTATATCCGTTGGATAGGTGATATCCAAATTTGATTAAATTTCACGTCAATTAAGATATTATATCATTGTAATTCGGTGGGCGGCGCGCGATCGTATGGCGTAATCGTTCGGTTCGCAGTGTCTGATGTTAAAGCGGTGACGGCACAGCGCGGCCCGTACATGAAAAGCCAGCCCTTAACGAGACGCGACCGCCCGCGGCGATTGCGAAGCGCCGCGTTGTCTTCCGCGTAATGAATGCGGAATTGAATAACATGCGGTGTCGGCATGCGACATTCACCGCGGACATGCGTCCGGATAGTTTCACCATCCGGTAGCTGTTCGTTCATCGAACCGTTCGAGCAAGGCCGTTGCATGAACCGCTTATCTCGCGTTTTATCGCACTCGATCAAGTTCGGGCCTTTTTCATCGAGCTTTTTCGCGTATTCGCGCAAAACACGCTCGCGACATTTCGTTTTTGGAGAGCGGCGAATAATCGCGCACGTTTCACTTGGACGCGCGACCCGTGTGTCATAAGCCCCCCGATCCGCTCGTTACCGCTAAGTCATGCTGATATCACAAAAAAATTTATTTTTTCGTTTTTCTTTCCCTCTTTTTTTCTCCCGATACTTTGATTTTCGCTTCTTGCAGTTTTTATCGTCGTTTTAACGAGCACCGCCTAAAACGAAAATAGCTGGAGCGGAAAATAAACGCCGGACCGCGAGGCTATCGCTGCGTTAGTTTGCTTCAACGCGGTTGCATGAATACGGCAACAGAAATTAAATTACGGATTTCCATTATTTCTTGTATGTTAAAACAGGCCAGTTATTTTCTAGCGTTTCGCACAGATTAATATGCCCTTCCGTTGGAGAAGGAGCCGCAATGCTGACACTCCGCAGAGGTGTGAAATGTAGAAACCGCTGTTACACATCCTGTCACGTCAAGTTACGTTGTGGGATTTTGACATGATGGCACGTTATTAGAATCCCGCGATATTGTTGTCATTTAGTTAAGCATGTACTTCCCCTCATATTCATTATGGCGCAACGTAATTATAATATGAACACACATTTGTTATCTTAAACTGCAGTTAGTTTAGTTTAAACAAAGAGAACTGGTACATATAATAAATTGTAATAATTATATCTAGATTTTTATATAAACGCATTATCGTTAATTCTACTTACAAATTTATGCGTTCTACGTAATACTTTACATTTTTTTAATTATTTTAATATTTATTTAGAAAAACATTAAGCAGATGTAGAACTTGCATTAACATGGTGAGATAAATTTTTAATGCATTTTATAAAATATTACAAACAACATCAACAACGGGCGGTATATTTATTCACTGCGCACTGAATTTATTCTGCGGTACCGCGGCCCTGCGTTTCTCTCATGTAAAGAAATACGCTTGAAAAATATCTCGGGCGTGAAAACTTCAATTTTATGTTTATCCCCACCAAATATTTGTTGTGTTATTATGTGTAGCGTCCATTCAACACAAACGAAAGTATCATTTTCCGCAAAACAATCCACGTGAAGAACACAATTACGCAGAGATTTTTTTCTCGATGCATATTGCATGTGCGAGGAGAAAAATCCTCGAGCATTGTCGCTGCAGGCCTCGTTGCAAAAATTGTTATTGGTGAAAGGGGACGAGCAGCTGCCAAGAATTGCTGCATTGTCATTGTCCCGAGAAAGAAAACCAACACTCATCTCATGCTGTCGTGCATCTTCAGCATCACTTCTGGATCAGCGATCACCCCTGCGTGAGAAAAAGATATATTATAAAAAATGATTAATGGAAAACAATTGTATATACATATCTCTCTGCATACATGTGTGCGTGTGTGTGTGTTTGCACACACTGTTATTACAAGCATTTCACATGTTACATACGCTAACGTATAATTTTCACACGCAACTGAATAAAATTTGTTTTCTAAATAAAACAAATTTTATTCACTTAAATTTGCAATCGCAAGAATAATTATTAGTGGCTAAATCAATGACGATTAATTCAAGAAATTGAGCTACCAGCTTTTATTGTTCGATCCCTCAAATAAATATTAATTTTGACATTCCTTGTTTGAAAAACTGTTATCTTTTTCAATCTTGTTTAACAAAATAACGTATCTCCGAAACTCTACGTTCGCAGTGCCGTACGGTATCTATCTTAAATAATACGTGATAGAGAGATAATACAGCACGAACACGCATACGCATACGCAATGCTGTGTGTAGGGCGCACGTTTGTGTAACGTGATATGTCGCATGTATTAATGGTACTAGACGCGGCTTGAGGATGACATTAAGCTGCAAGTGCAGCGGACTGTGCATTGTCATCCCCGTTGAATACCGTTGGTGGCGGTTGTATCATGCGCACATACGCGCGCAGTCATTCTCCATCCATCTAGTCGAACCTAACTCCCCCTAAACTCGTCAACAGTTATTTCCTTTGCTTTTTTCGCAACCCCCGTCCAGCTCTCCCGCTGCCAGCTCGTGCTCGATGAAGCGCGCGCGGTCATTCGGGACGCTTTGTTTCGTCCTCGATGTGGCCGTGACTCCGACTACCGCTCGTCCATTAAGTCTAATAACGTTTCAATGAATGCGCGCGCTGCGGTTGTTATTAGGTATGCATTTGCATAAATGCCAGAGCAATTATTTCGTGAGGCGCGATTATGATGTGCCATCTCTCCCCCAGACACCGCCAGCCTCGCGTTATAGCTATTCGATTTTATAACACGCCCGACCCGTTATTATAATCGCTATCTATAGCAGAACTTGCATTCGCGAAGCAATTAAAGCGCGATATTAATTGGATTCGCGATTTCGCACAGCGTATCGACCGCTTTAGCGTACCTTTAGACCAAAATTGATATTTTTCTACTTGATTGTCAAACGCATAGTCGTCGTATTATCGTCAACCGTGCGAAATTATTATTATTATTAGTAAATGGATGCGCGCAGAAACGGTATCGTGCAAAATTTTCGTCGGGAATAGGGCGGATTCCAATTGCTAACTCCCCGCGGAATTCAAACTCATTTTCCAAATACTTTTCGACTGTGACGGAGTCTAGGATATGTGCATGCTCCATTATATCGCTCGAAGCGATCTTAGTTAAACCTTGTTGTTAAATCCTGTTGTGATGAGCGAGCACTTCATCGCGACGAAACTCGATAAAACCGATCGGAAATTTTAATTGGTCGCCACTGCATTCTACTTTCAATACCATTGTTACGAAAAATCGTGTTCTCTTTTCCGAATATAAATTTTTCGTTCAAATGTCCCGAGAGAAATTAATTGGTAATTATCTCGCGGCATGTCGACGTGGTCGAGAGGCGCGTGTATTTATCGCACAAATTAATCACGTTGCGGTATTCATGCGTGTTCATGTCGTCACGTCTGTCAGCCGTTAAAATTCAAGAAACAGCCTGATGATGCGGCCGCGTCACGTCGCTGATACGAGAATCCCGTTATGTCTGTTTTGTTGTTAATATCGAGAATACATCCTATCGAATTTTTTCGATTTCGCACTACATTGTGCATTAAAACAATAGTTAAAATCAAAGAGAGGATACATTGTGGCTCTCGCAAATTTTCAATATTTTTCATATATTTGACAGATTAAATATCCGCTATTGCGAATCTTGATAATTGAGATACACTAAAAATGAGAATACACACTATACAAATCACGATTTAATTATGTAAAGTTTTGCACACAATTAAAAAAATATCATGATAACATCACCTCAGCAAACGCGATATTGTCAGACTTTTTCCTGATTGTACATTATAACAAGAACATCTTTAACGAAATGGATGACTTCGGCAATTTTATCGGCTTGTGATATCTAGAATTATTTGTTTCTTCGATCTTATATAATATTATAAGATATAGTATATTTCTATTTGTGCTATGAAAATACAATGCAATCTTATCGGAAAATAATTTACGGGAGATTAGGTCATCGCGCAGTGGAAACGGTTTTAATAAAATTGTCGAATGGCCAGTTTCAGCGATTTTGCCGGTTCGATATTTAGAGAAGAACTCTATCTGTCCTTTCGATCGTAACATAATCTTATATGGTATTACGGTCTATTTCTGCCTGTACGTTTGGCGGTATGCATTCTTCACAAACGATCCCTCTTCTTCTCGTTTCGCTTTATCCCTCGCACGTCCATTTCATCCTCCTCACTGTCGGCGGTCCATCCTCTCGCCATTGCAGTATCGATTTCAATCCGCGTTGCCTCCGTCCCGTGTATTCTCCTCCCCCGTAATCCCGTATTCGCCATTTCTGTCCATCTGTTTCGCGAAAGCGGCTCTTTTACATTTCTCGTTGACTCGATGAGAAGTCCCCCCGGCGAGTTCGTACGGATTGTCTGGCGCGGGGCCATCTTGGATCGCACTTACTCAGAATTCTTTGCACTTCCTTAGCGGAAACTATTGTGCCGCGGGAGCATTTTCCCCTCCCGCGACCGTTGTATACGATTATCGGCCGCGGAAAACAATGCGCGCGGCCTGGCAAACGTATGCGATCCTTGGCGATTCGCCTCGCGAATTATGTTAAGCACCACGTACGCGCTACGCTCGGCTACCTCGGCGAAATCGCGTCGCGAGTTTTATTGCGGCCCGTCCCGTTATGTGAGATAAATCGGGTAGTTCGTAAAAAGGTTCGTAAAAAGGTTCACCCTATGCGTCGCGAAATCGGGAGTTTCGCTATCGCTTCCTGCTTTATGCCATTGTTTCTCGGAGGATGTGAGGGAAGATATCGCGAAAACGAGATTACTCGTCGCACGGCGCGCTTAACAGTAGCAATACCGAGTCTCGGCAGGCCAAATTGTACGTTATTGCATTTTTTTTTTTCACAAACCGCAGGAGAGTGGTTATTACAAACGTGGAAGATTGTCGGGGGCCAGTATCCATTGGGATGTTTCGAAAGAGGAATGTAGAAATGTACTGCAAAAATATAAAATCATAAAGTTAGTAGAAAAAAAACCTGGTTAATTTTTAATATAACATAAATATGACATTACGTTAGTGAGCTTCAAAGGATCGCGCTTGATAGTAATGCGCCGGCAAAAATACCTTGATATTGTTACGGCAAGAGGATGTCCGCGGCATAAAAGGATATCAAGTGTCAGGAATATTTCATACTTTATTTCGTTTTCTTTCCGCCCATTTTATTTACTTTGTGCTTTACGTAGAGCTGCATTTCAAAACAAGATTGCCACGCGTTCTCGTTTATTACTCGAAGTAGGCCACGGCTGTTCTTGTCGCGCTTGTCTAATTCCTTATCACTGCTACGCGCACGCAATATCAGCATTGTGGGAATAAGAGGAGCATAACGGCAGAAGTAGATCAGCCGCATAACTTCTATTTCTCAGAAAAATCAGTAATGCACGTGTAGCATTGTTGGAAACGAGTCCGATTTATTTTCTTGAGATTATTATTACGCGATGTACACAGCTATAATATTTTAACATGTAGTAATCTATTTTTTCTAATAACATTAAATGTTTAACGACGCAATTTTGTCGGATTATTATTGTAATTTATTTCGCAGTTTAATCGTTTATGAAACTAAATGGAGATAATAAATAAAGAATTTTAGGGAAATTTCAAGAATTAAGACTTTTCTGGAAAAAAGTTATTATTATCCCTTTCCTTTCTTTTCCTTACTTTTTAAATAACGAAATAAACGAGGATCTTTTTCCTCTTCTCGTTTTGTACCGATTGATAGCTTAAAGCATTAATATGCAGTATTCGTATCCAATTCGTATCGTAATTCTATCCAATTAAAGATTGAATTAGCCGAAACAAAGCATCAAAACTTCCTTTTCTTCATATTTATGAAGCTCGCTCGTTATTATCCGACGAATAATTTCCAGAACACTTTTCCACGTTACATCGCGCTGTAATTGCAAATTTTGCTTCGGTATTGCCATTTTTCTTTTTTCTCTTAATAACTTTATTCAGAAACAAGCGCTCGCATTTGCGACGAGTAATAACGGATACTGGTATCGCCGTCGGATCGATAAATTACGTGACTGTATAAAATCGAATGTTACACAGTTCAATAATCCGTGCGCGTAGAATGTAGATTCGATGGATCGGCGATGCAAGTGCATGACATTCATTCGAAAATCAGACCAAACAATCGATTAATCGAATGAAAAAAAAGAATTCCCGTAGAAGAATGAGCATTTCGAAAGCATCGTCGAGCTTGTTCCGCTCTAAAAAGATCGATTGATCAGAATTTCAAAGACAGTCCGCACCCTTAACGCTTGAGAAAACAAAATCCGACCGATGTCACCTATTGATTCGATAAATGGCTCAATTATTGAAATGTAAAAAAAAAAGCGGGAGGGACAAAGGGCGTGGTCGGGGAGAGATGAAATCAAAAGGGAGAGCAATTGTGCGAGCCGCAAACTGCTTCCGGAATTTTCATTGAATTTCGCACGACGCCTCATAACGAATATTGAAACGGCGAATCGCCTATCGATCGACAGCAAAAAAAGCTTTCATATTAGGCGATCATCTGGAAATCCGGGCAGATAAGGGCGCCTTTGAAAATTCATTCAGTTGTAACACGACGAACACGACCACGTCGGTTAAAGGGCTGATTCAAGGATTTGCGAATGGAAAAAAGTGCACTGGAAAATTACGAGATGCAATGTAAAGTCATAAAATGTGTAAAGAAAAGAAAGGGGACTTTCCTGGCTCGTTAGTGTCAGAAAACATAAGAATCAATCAAACT